TCCCTCCCTTTCCCCTGCTGCTGTCTTAGGCCTTGGCTACACTTGCGAGTTACAATGCAATAAAGGAGCCCTGGGCGCACTAGCTCACTACCCGTCCACATTGGCAAGGCACGTAGAGCGCTCTGCCCCAGGTGACCAACCCTCAGACCCGCCCTTTAAATTCTCTGGGAATTTTGAAAATCCCCTTCCTGTTTGCTCAGCCAGGCGTGGAGTTCTCTCAGCGAATCTTTCCAGGGGACCATGCCTCCACTTGCCAGGCAAGCCCCAGTATGGAGCAATGGCGAGCTGCTGGACCTCATCAGTGTTTGGGGGGAGGAAGCTGTCCAGTCCCAACTGCGCTCCAGCCGTAGGAATTACGAAACCTTCGGGCAGATATCAAGGGCCATGATGGAAATGGGCCATGATCGGGACGCTGCAGTGCAGGGTTAAAGTGAAGGTGTTCTGGAATGCCTACCGCAAAGCCCACGAGGCAAACAGCTGCCCCCAAGACCTGCCGTTTGTACAAAGAGCTGGATGCGATACTTGGGGGTGACCCCCCCCTCCACTCCCAGGACCACCGTGGACACTTCAGAGCCAAGTTCAATCAGGCAGGGGGAGGAGGAGGAAGGCGGGAGCGAGGATGCTGAGGAGGAGGGAGACACCCCAGAATCCAGAGATGCATGCAGCCACAAGCAGTTCTCAAGCCAGGAGGAAGGTAGCCAGTCACGGCGGCCTTGGGGAAGGACAAACACCAGAGGAGGTTCCCAGTAAGCGGCTTTTCTTTTGGGAAGGAAGTTATTCGGTGCGGGCTCTTGGGGTGAGAAGGATTACGGCTGCATGCATGCTATTGTGTAGACTGTGCTTGCCCTTAAGTACAGGGGAATCATTGCTCTGTCTAGTGTGAACAATGCTGCCTCTGTTAAGTGTTGCATTTTGGCTTTACCGATGCAACCTTGAGATCTCAGCCGTCCATGTTATCACCAGCCAAAAGACTCCAAAGAACCAGAAAGAGGCCACGTAGAAGCAAGGAAGACATGTTGCATGAAGTAATGCAGCATTCAAGTAATGAGAATCAAAAAGTGTAGGAGTGGCGGGAGAGTGAAAGAAGGATCCGCCAGCAGAACGAGGAGGGCTGGCACAAAAGCGCGGTGCTCCGGCAGCAAAGCACGGATCGGCTGATAAGCACAACGGAGCACCAAGCAGACTCTATCCAGGCGCTTGTAGCCATGAAGGCGGAGCACTACTGTGCCCGCCCCCACCCCCTGCAGCCCTTGTCCCAAAACTCTCTCCCTTGTGCCCCCATGTCACCTCCAACCCACTTTCCCCAACATCCGGGTTCTTACCACCACCAGCTGCCTCCAACACCTGTAGCTTCACCACCCAGCCCTGAAAACTACGACCCCAACCCTCTGCACTCAACCCCCATCACCAGGCATTTCAGCCAGCCAGAAGTGCAGCACTCATTGCACAGCACTCCAGACAGGACATACGCAAATCTGTGATTGTACCGTTCCCCACCCCACCCCCTTGCCCTTTCTGTTTCCCAAGCAGGTGTGTTTATTTTCAATAAATGAATTTTCTTTTCAATAAATGGATTTTTTGGCTTTGAAAACATTCTTTACTATTCCATAAAGTAAAAGATACATTAACCCAGGAACTCAATAAGCACTGCAAGTCAGTGTAGCAAACACAGATTCCTACTAACATTGGAACCACTGCACTTCACTCCCGTACAGGGCACCAAACTGGTGGCTTTCAGCCTCAGATTGCTCCCTCAAGGCATCCCTAATCCTTTCAGCCCTGCACTGGGCCCCTCAAATAGCCCTGCTCTCTGGCTGTTCAAATTCAGCCTCCAGGTGTTGAAGCTCTGAGGTCCATGCCTGAGTAAATCTTTCACCCTTCCCTTTACAAATGTTATGGAGGGTACAGCACGCAGATATAACTACGGGGATGCTGTCATTGGCCAGGTCCAGCTTCCCATACAGAGAGTGCCAGCGGCCCTTTAAATGGCCAAAAGCACACTCCACAGTCATTCTGCACTGGCTCAGCCTGTTGTTGAAGCTCTCCTTGTTGCTGTCAAGGCTCCCTGTGTAGGGTTTCATGAGCCATGGCATTAACGGGTAAGCGGGGTCTCCAAGGATCGCAATGGGCATTTCGACTTCCCCTACGGTGATCTTCTGGTCTGGGAAAAAAGTCCCGGCTTGCAGCTTCCTGAATAGGCCAGTGTTCCAAAAGATGCGTGTGTCATGCACCTTTCCGAGCTAGGCTGCGTTAATGTCAATGAAACGCCGACAGTGATCCAGAGGCGCTTGGAGAACCACAGAGAAATACCCCTTCTGATTAATGTACTTGGAGGCTAGGTGGGCTGGTGCCAGAATTGGAGTATGTGTCCCACCTATCGCCCCTCCACTGTTAGGGAAACCCATTTTTGCAAAGCCAGTCACAATCTCATGCACGTTACCCAGAGTCACGGTTCTTCTGAGCAGGATGCGATCAATGGCCCTGCAAACTTGCATCAACACAATTCCAACGGTTGACTTTCCCACTCCAAACTGGTTAGCGACCAATCGGTATCTGTCTGGAGTTGCCAGCTTCCACATTGCAATAGCCACCTGCTTTTCCACCGTCAGGGCAGTGCTCAATCTCATCTCTTTGCGCCGCAGGGTGGGGGTGAGCTCCTCACACAGTCCTGTTGGAGACCCCAGGGCATGGCCACTAGTTAAGTTGAGGGGATGGAAGGCCATAAGGGTCGAGGAAGTCTCCCTGCTGAAGGCCTAAGGGCTTCTTCTCAACCCCCTTAATAGAATTCAGGCCTGGCTGGTTTGAGTAAGCTCTTTTGCTCTTAAAACAATGTTGCAGTTATAGATAATGGCTTATAGTATAAGGTTTCCTGACGCCAAGTCAAAGATAACAGGAGAGACAGCTACAAGGCCAGACAGAATGTGCTGGTTGTTTAAGTTGCTAGGAATGCTTGTTAGAGGTTGCAGGAAATAAACATTGTTGTAATCCATATAAAAAAGGCAGAGTATTTGTGCAAAGTTTTGATTGGCTGATGTGTAGTGCAGTAGCATTAAGAAATATAAAAGTGTGTGTAATAACCTGCTCTGATGTGCAGGATTTGAGATTCTATTCTCCCTGTACCTTGTTTGCAGCTACAAATAAACTATTCTGCTTCTCCACCTCGTTGTGATTATTGGATGACGCACACCGGGTAATGACCCCTGCTGTTGTTCGCCTCTGGCACTGGGTGCCGGCAACAGTCCCATGAAAGTGGCTTTTCTCATCCAAAAGTTCTGCAGCCACTGCTCGTCATCCCAGACTTGCATGACGATGTGATTCCCACCACTCACTGCTTCTTTCCCGAGCCCAAAAGCGGCGTTCCACGGGGGTGAGCACGTCCGTGAATGTCACAAGCAATCTCGTGTCGTATGCGTTACTCGAGTCAAGACTCCTCACTGTCCGTTTGGATCTTAAGGAGTAACTCAACTGCCAAACGTGACGTACTGGTGAGACTCGTCAGCATATTCCCCAGCAGTTCGGGCTCCATTCCCGCAGACCGAAAGGGAAGACACAGTGCGCAGTACAAAAAACTTTGAAAGATGGCGCCAAATATGGACGGAAGCACTGGGATTACTGGGATGCGAACTGATGCATCACGGGGCATTGGGACAGGACCCAGAATGCCCCCCCGCCCCCTTCCCACAAGCCACAGCGCCAGAATGGGAAGTGGTGCTTTGTGGGATAGCTGCCCATAATGCACCGCTCCCAATGCCGCTGCAAGTGCCCCAAACATGGCCTCGCCAGTGCGCTGTCAGCTGTCAGTGTGGACACACGGCAGCGCTTTCCCTCCTGCGCTCTCCGAGGGCTGGTTTAACTCCAAGTGCTCTACGTCTGCAAGTGTAGCCAAGCCCTTCGGCGCTTGAGCCACCTGACGTCAGGTGGTGGGTTCCCGTCTGTGGGTGGCTAAGCAGACATAGAGGCCCCTCTGCAGCCCTGTTTTAGGCACCTGTCTGTGAGAGGGGCCAGGGCTTAGGACACCCCTCCCTTGTCGCCTCTCCCACTGGCTAGCTTTGGACTTGTCTCCACTTACACTTTATAGCGCTCTAACTTGCTGTCTCAGGGGTGTGAAAATTCACCCCCCTGAGCACAGCAAGTCTGAGCGCGTTAAAGCGCTAGTGTAGACAGGCACCCAGCACTGGGAGCCGCGCTCCCGGTGCTCATCCCCTCGTGGAGGCAGATTACCAGGCGCGCTGGGAGAGCTCTCTCCCTGGGCTTGCGTGCGACCACACTCGCACTGCAAAGCGCTGCTGCGGGAGCGCTCCCACGACAGCGCTTTGAAGTTTCCAGTGTAGCCATTTCCCCAGATGGCTCCCTGCCGAGTGAGCTGGGTTTTGTGAATCTTATTGTCAGGTGCCTGTGATGCCCATGCATGGTACAGGGAGTTTAGGCCCCTAACTCAGCTTTGCAGAATTGCAGTCTATGATTTTCTCATTGCCTACAAATTAAGCATGAAGTGATGTTCAGCATTGCAACCCCAAGTCATGGATTGCCCCCTGTGCAACCAGTCTCCTCTCCGCAGAGCACAGCTGAGCAATTCCTGATTGACACGGGTGTGGACAGAAGAGAGACAGAGCACAGGCTGGAGAGTGACACATCCCAGTAAAAACCAGACTCTCCTCCTAGAGGCGCGATATTCCCTGTGGGGGCTGGGGGGACACAACCAACTCAGGCAGCAAATCCCACGGCTCTGCCCCCGACAACTGCAGCTGGGACAGGAAAGTGGAACAAAGAAGAAGAATTGTTTGTCATGTTTTATTTACAGTAATTACTAACAAAGGTGGTAAGTAAAGGGAGCTGAGAAGGACCCTTAATAACCACAGCATGGCAAGCAGATCCCCAGCTACTGAGAACAGTTTTCTTAATAAGAAAAGGAGTACTTGTGGCACCTTAGAGACTAACCAATTTATTTGAGCATGAGCTTTCACGAAAGCTCATGCTCAAATAAATTGGTTAGTCTCTAAGGTGCCACAAGTACTCCTTTTCTTTTTGCGAATACAGACTAACACGGCTGTTCCTCTGAAACCTGTCAGTTTTCTTAATGGCACTAAAATAGCACCAATTGCCAGGAATTAATATAGGGAATTAATGAGTTACAGTCTCACTTTCAGTCAGATGTCATAAATCTCTCTGTTTCCTTCCCTTCCATACTTTCCTTTTCTGTTCATTTTTCTAACCCACCCTTCTGATCCCTCTTTATTTTCCTGTGTTTCTCCCACTCTCCTCCCATCCCTGTTACAGATCAGCCCCCATGGCTGCTCCATTCCACCCCCCTCCACCCTCAATTTTATCCCTTCCCCTCTTGCTGCCCCCAGGCTGGTTCCCCTGTCAGGGATAGGTTTCAGAGTAGCAGCCATGTTAGTCTGTATTCGCAAAAAGAAAAGGAGGACTTGTGGCACCTTAGAGACTAACGAATTTATTTAAGCATAAGCTTTCGTGAGCTACAGCTCACTTCATCGGATGCATAAAATGGAAAATACAGTGAGGAGGTTTTTATACACACAGACCATGAAAAAATGGGTGTTTATCACTTCAAAATGTTTTCTGTCCCCTCACCCCACTCTCCTGCTGGTAAGAGCTTATCTACAGTGATCACTCTCGTTACAATGTGTATGATAATCAAGGTGGGCCATTTCCAGCACAAATCCAGGGTTTAACAAGAACGTCTGAGGAAGGGGGGGGGGGAGGAATAAACAAGGGGAAATAGGTTACTTTGTATAATGACTCAACCACTCCCAGTCTCTATTCAAGCCTAAATTAATTGTATCCAATTTGCAAGTTAATTCTAATTCAGCAGTCTCTCCTTGGAGTCTGTTCATGAAGCTTTTTTGTTGAAGAATACTCACTTTCAGGTCAGAAATTGAGTGACCAGAGAGATTGAAGTGTTCTCCAACTGGTTTTTGAATGTTATAATTCTTGACGTCTGATTTGTGTCCATTTATTCTTTTACGTAGAGACTGTCCAGTTTGACAAATGTCCATGGCAGAGAGGCATTGCTGGCACATGATGGCATATATCACATTGATAGATGTGCAGGTGAACGAGCCTCTGACAGTGTGGCTGATGTTATTAGGCCCTGTGATGGTGTCCCCTGAATAAATATGTGGGCACAGTTGGCAACGGGCTTTGTTGCAAGGATAGGATCCTGGGTTAGTGGTTCTGTTGTGTGGTGTGTGGTTGCTGGTGAGTATTTGCTTCAGGTTGGGGGCTGTCTGTAGGCAAGGACTGGCCTGTCTCCCAAGATTTGTGAGAGTGATGGGTCGTCCTTCAGGATAGGTTGTAGATCCTTGATGATGCGCTAGAGAGGTTTTAGTTGGGAGCTGAAGGTGATGACTCGTGGTGTTCTGTTATTTTCTTTGTTGGGCCTGTCCTGTAGTAGGTGGCTTCTGGGCACTCTCCTGGCTTTGTCACTCTGTACCCAGAAGTCACCTACTACGGGGGGCTGCAGGCAAGGTTCCTCCACCTCCCAGCAATGTCTCCACACGGTGAATCCCTCACAGCCCAGCACACAGGGCTCAGTGTCAAATCTCTCAGGGTTGTTGGGCAGTCGCTGTCGTGTGTCTCCCCATCTCACACCTTTCCCATCCTCATACAGGACTAGTTGGGGATGAGCCGTGTCTGGATCCAGAGTCACATTCGCTGGGGAGAGAGAATCAGAGCGTTAGGGGCAGAGCTCGGCCCTGGGGGAGGCCGGGGCCGTTTCTCTCACTCTCCCCAGCAGCCCTGTTCTGGCTGGGACAGGCCTGGATTGCAGGGAGCTGCCTCTGTCCTGGGCACCTGAGACTGAGCAGAGATGTCACTGCACTTCCTCAGTCTCTGTAAGGAGACCCACTTCATTAATTTCCCATTTGCTTGCATAAGCATCAGCTCCCAGCTACCCCTGTTGATTCTGCTCCATTCCCAGCAGGAGAGACACACCAAGAAAGGATTTAGTGGGGAGGGAGCAGAGGAAGCAGGTACAGTTTTGAAGCCCAGAGGAAATCTCCCTCCTCTAATGCAGTCTCCACTCCCAGGGCTGGGAACAGAGAGGAAGATGCAGCATTGGGGAAGAGCTGATTAACACCAGAGAGTAGGAGGTGGCATTGGGTGAGGTAGCCCCATCCCCAGTCCAGAGAGAAGGGAGGAGCTGGCAGCATCAGAGGGAGAGCATCTCCCCAATCCAGGAAGCAGGGAGCAGCTCCAATGGGAGAGCCCAGCCCTTCCCAGAGGAAAGGCAGGATGTGGGAGAAGAGCAATGGGGAGACCCCCTGCACCGGGGTAAAGCAGAGGGATGTGTCAGTCCTCAGGGCATTGAGCTCTGTTCGGGTGCTGCTCAGGGAGAGTGTTTCTGTTCATTAGCATGGGCATGAACTCAGCACTCAGGTTGGTGTCAGGATTATTTGTGTGATGTCAGCTTGGGATCTCCCCAGGTGTTCCGGCACCTTGGCAGAAGTTGGGGAGGGGGGGTACTAGGTCCCACCACCTGTGGCCCTGCCCTCTCCCTGGCCCTGCCCCACTCTTCATCTTCCCGCCTAGGTCCTACCCCTGGCCAGGCTGGGAGCCTTGGCCACTCTGGAGAGCCCCTGACCCTCCACCTTCCCATGTCCCCACTCTCCGGCGTGCACCACCCAGGGCAGGGGGAGGGTCCGGGGGGAAGAGGAGCAGGGGTGGGGCCACTGAGAGGGAGAAGCACCAGGAAGAAGCTGCACTACACAGGGCGCAGTTGATCAGCCGCCCCTCCATGAAGTACAGCCAACGCTGCGATGCGCCACGCCTGCCCAAGGCTTGCAGTGTGGGGGGCCAACAGGGCCCCTGCCCCCAAACTATGCCCATGTTAAAAGAGGGTGAGCTTGGCCCTCTGGCCCCCCATGTTCCAGTGCCCCTGGATCTCCTCACTGTGAATAGGTTATTTTTAGGGCTGTGTGTGCCATGGCCACTGGTGATTTGGTTGGTAACTTTCGTTACAATCTCAGGAAGATGTTTTGACTGGAATTTTCTCCTAATGTAAAGACAATCTCCAGCTGCAAACTCACCCTGTCTGTGTGCTCCTAGGGATTCCAGTGCAGACGGCAGAGTGTCTGGCGGGGGAAAGGAGAAAAGAGACGAGATTTCAGACTTTCGTATTTATAACAGCATCCCCACTCTGAACGCATAGAACTGTGTTTTCATCATGACAGAGAAACAGATCGAGAGGCCCAGAGACACACTCAGGCATTTCATAGAAACTAACTGAAACCTTCTGTTTCCTCTCTCATTCAGCCATCTCCCAGCAATGGAACCAACGTCCTTACAGCCTCACAACCATCCCAGGACACACAATCTGTAAGAGAGATTTACTTTTCCCCTCCTCATCCCCTCCCACCCTTCAAACTCCAGTTGGTTTGTCTCATTCACTCACTGCCTTTCCTCATAACCTAGACCCAGATCATACAGAGACTTTGGCTGAAAAGTAACTTTAGCCACTTTGGTCCCTTTGGCCAGGGTCAGGCAGCATCATGTTGTGCGACGTACACTTGACAAAATTACCGGAGTGGGTGGCGGACAGTGGCGGGGGGTTATGTCATTCAGTCATCATTCAACCAGTAAAATAACGCACAATTTTCCACACTGAAAACCCCATAACCTAGCTCGTTAATAAATAATGACAAATAATAATAGTAATAAATTCAACTCAGGTGAGTGTTTTTGAATAACCCTCACTGCCGCAGTCAATATTTTTTTTGTGGGATGGCAGCATTGAAATAAATATTTCTCCTAAAACCATATTTCAGTGCATTGTTGTCACTAGTCTTTTATTTTTCTTGTTTAAATAATATGTCTGATGGGAGGATGAGTGTCTCTGTGTGTGTGTGTCCCACCTCTACACCGCTTACCCCATGTCTCTCCCCTGTCTGTGTCCCTTACATGGGAGATCCCCCATCATGTCACAGGATGTGGGAAGCAGAGGAGGGGGGTCTCTCAGTGGAGCAGGGTTTCCCATCACCACACTGTGACCAGAGCACCCCTCTCCAGGCAGGGGTGATCCCAGGGTCGATGGGAACCTCCTCTGTCTCCTGACCAGGACAAAGGGACAAGCTCTGGCTGTGGGCGGGGGTCTGTTGTGAGCAGAGGCCAGAGTGGAACAAATTCTTTGGTGGGGGGACTCACCTCTGGTGGCTCCCAGAAGTGGCTTCCCACTGTCCCTCATCCCTGCTGCTCCTGGGAAGCTAGGCTGAGGGGGTCTGTGCAGCTGGGGGAGGGGTAGCAATGAGGGGCTGGAGCTGGCTGTGGGGAGCTGTGCAGTGGGGAGGTGGCACTGAAGAGCTGGAGCTAGGCTGAGGGGGCTGTGCAGTGGGGGCGGCACTGAAGGGCTGGAGAGAGCTCAGCTGAGGGGGGCTGTGCAGTAGTGTCCTGAGGGGCTGGAGCCAGGCTGAGGGGGCTGTGCAGTGGGGTGAGGCACTGAGGGGCTGGAGCTAGGCTGAGGGGGGCTGTGCATCCAGCCACAGAGAAGTTAGCAAAGTCCAATACCCCCTGTGTGGAGACAAGGGGGAAAGTGGCGTGTGCATAATCAGTGGTAATAAACCAATCAGAGAAGAGAACAATAACATGAAAATAACTTGAACAAAAAAAGCCCTGCCAATGATGTGTTCATGCATGTGTAGTGTGTGACCTATATAAGGTACTTAATATTCATACCACTCAAAGGTGATTGGAAAAGAACTAGTAAATATGCAATTTGGAGGTGTCTAATATTCCAGACATTGTAAGGGGTAATTAGAGCTTCCTAGGAGAAATCCCCCGTGACCCACCTATGCCCCAGGAGAAGGGAACTGACCAGCACTTCTTTCTATATGCGATGGCTAGTAGCAAATATCCCAATGGCTGGTGATGGGGCACGAGTCGGGGAGTGCTCTGAGTTAGAGAGAAATCTTTCCCAGGTGTCTGGCTGTTGGGTCTTCTGAAATGCTCAGTCTCCAACTGACTACCATATTTGGGATAGGGAAGGAATTTTCCACCAAATCAAATTGCCAGAGACTCTGGGGTTTATTTTTTCTTCCTCTGCCATATGGGGCACGTATCATTTACCGATGTTAAACTAGAAGAAAGGTGGATTCTCTGTAACTTGAAGTCTTTAAATCATTATATGAGGGCTTCAGTAATTCAGCCAGAGTTTACGGGTAAATTGCAGGAGTGGGTGGGGAGGTTCTGTGGCCTGCAATGTGCAGGAGGTCAGAGTAGATGGATCATGATGGTCCCTTCTGACCTTAAAGTCGATGAGTCATTTCTTACTTTGTAACTGTCATTGAAAAGCATGTTTCTGGTGCAAACAAAGGTTTGAATTAATCAACCTGAGTGTCTTGGACCCAAATGTCTGGCCTTCTCACCCAACAATTAAATAGAAGCATCATCTAAGTGTGAACCAATTGACCAGCACCATTCTCTTCCCACAGTCTCAGAGGCTCTTCCCAATTTCCATTCCTAGATCCCTTCTGGGTACCTTTGAACTTCCTCAGAGTCTCCATTAGCACAATAGTTTTCTGGGAGAAATCGCTGACTTGCTCTTCCAGTTCAGGAGAAATCTCCTCTGGCTGCTGGAACTTCCCCTTCTCACACCTGGAGAGAAACAATTTCACGTGATTATATTTCATTGTGTGACTCATGATAAGTTCTGGCTAGCGAGTCGCTGCTCTAATGGGCCTGGAGTTCGAATTCCTCGACTTCTCCCAGCCTCAGAGCAGGTGCAACACAGCCCATGGCCGTACAACCTTCCCTTCTGAGGACTCCTTAATATTCTTCAACTCTGGTCTGGTGAGATCAGCTCTGGGGACAAAAGGGGAATTGAGTCTCCATGGCCAATTCACTCCTTGGCCTCCATGCTCTGAGGGACAGGAGGTTCCTATGTAAAGTGCTGTAGAAATCTGTCCACTAGAAACTAAACTGAGACACCAACTCCCCCCTCCCCAGCTCATTCCACACAGGTCTCCAAACAGTCCTCAGGCTGGGAAAGACTCAGGTGGGAAAGACTCTTGACCACTGCTGCCTTGGGCTGAATGGTAACCAGGGCCCCAGTAGTGACAGGCCCATATTCCATCCCCACAATCCTGAGGCAGCCACTCCCCCAGGGATGTGACATCTCGAGGAAACACTTGAGGTCAGTCTTTCCCACTGAATGGACAATTCCAGAGTCTTCTGTACCAGGGTGAGAACCTCAGGATGAAGTTTATCTGAGAGATTTGTATCCAAAATCCCACACATGTTGCTGTGGAGATGTGGTGCAAACATCATCTCCATGCTCTTCCCCAGCATTGCCAAGTATGTGTGGGAGTGAGAGAGAGCCACGTACCTACTCAAGGTGCTTCTGACATCCTAGAGGGGAGAGAGAGGAGAGAGAGATTTAAAAAAAATCTCAGTACCACCTGACACACACTTGGGATTCCAGGAAAGGGGTTTTGCAAATACAGGGAAAATCAGCCCTGCCCTGGCCCCGGGGCCATGGTTTCACTGAGCTAATGGGGCTTTTCCATCTCTAATATCAATGTGTCTGTGAGTCTGCAAAGAACAATAGTCATTCACATTTCAGCAATGCACACATTGAGTTACACTGAGATCTCTGACTGCTGGACCCCGGTGCCAGTACTTCCTGTCCCTGTGTTGGGATTTGGGATGTTTCTAGCTCAGTCTCACCTGCAGGAATTCACTTGCTGGCTTCTGACACTTCCCCTCCATCTCACTGATCAGCTCACTGAGACGGGAAATCCCCTCTGAGAGTTTGGTGATATTTTCATTCTGTATCTTCACAATCTCCTTGTCCAGCTTTTCCAGCTGGGCCAGCAGGAGTCGCTCTTGTTCCTCCAGGAACTGCCGCAGTTGCTGAAATGCAGACACAATCTTCTGCCTCTCGGTTTCTGTCTGTTTCTAGAAGAAATAAGGAAAGGGCTGGTCAGGAACACGGATGGAGCCTGATGACCTTTCATACAGTCTTACAAGAGAGAGTTTCTTTACAATCTCTAACACATCTGTGGAGAGACCAGGCCATGAGCCATCAGGCCTAGTGCTCAGAGCTGGAGTCAAAGTCAGGATCTCACCAAGGGTTGGGGCTACAGTCGAGCTCAGAAGTCATGCCAAAGGCTGAGCCAGAATCAGTGTCTGGAGTCACACGGGGGATCAGGACTGGAGTCGGAGTCAGGCAGCCACGCGAAGGGTCAAGCCAAAGTCAGACAGCAGTACTGCAGGTCAAACCTGAGTCAGGAACAACACCAGGGCCAAGCCAGCGTCAGGGTCCAGTCCAGCAGCAGATCGGGAGTTCACTCAGTTGTTTGGAAAACTTCCCGTGACTCCCGCTGGCGTAATTCATGCAGCCGAACGTCTGCTCCAATCAGGAGCTTCGTAGGCAGATCCGCTGGTGGGCCAGAGTTCCACTAGCCCCTCCCCCGCTGGCTCTGGAGAGCGGTCGGGTTGTAATGAGAGTCTCTGTGGGCTGAGGTTCCAAACCCACCATTCTTCACATCCTGACACTTGACTCGACACTGTGATCACAAAGGAGAGGATTTTCTTACAGCTTCCCATTTGGGCCCAATCTCTCTGCAAGGGCTGTCTCCATGTCTACTGGGATATAGTCTGTGCGGTTTGGGAGAAATTTTGTGAAAGCCACAAGGGGTAGTAATTAACTCATTAATTAAAATGCATCTTAGATCCTGCAGAAGACGCTGTTGTCCTTCTCCAGGGAGAGAACATTTGTGATATGCGCATCTGCACACACACACACACACACACAGAGTGTCCCATGATCCTGGAGAAACACACACAAGGCCACAGAGAAATCTACCAATAAACATCCCTCCCAGCTCCATGTCCCAGCAGGTGAAGAACAACAGGCACCGACCAGATACTCCCGGCTTCTCTCCTCTCCAGCCACTTTCAATCCCAGCAGCTTTTCGCTCTCTTCCCTCAAAGTCTTCAAATGGGCTTGTATTTTTTCCTGACAGACAGAAATGATTTGGTGGGTTTATTTTCAGGGTTGTAGGGGGTGGATGAGGTGTTTTCCCACCCAGAATTCTACATAACAGTCAGTCTTCCTAGATTGACTAGGTGGGTAAGGCAATACCTTCTGCTGGCCCAGCTCCTGTTGGTAAAGGACTTACACACAACTCAGCTCTGGGGAACACACTCTTTCCCAGGCCTGAAGAGCTCTGTGTAAGCTTGAAAGCTTCTCGTTCACCACAGAAGCTGCCATGAGCAGATATTACTTCACCTACCTTGTCTTTTTAATAGCCCAGGACCAACACAGTCACACAATATTGTGTACAACAGTGGGTCTTTCTAGGGGTAGGACATCAGAGACACCAAGGAAATGAAACCTGATTTATGGAAATTGGGCGGGTTTTGTTTGAAGTTATTACATCCACTTTCTCCATTGAGTCGAACCAGTGAAAAACTGGTGTCCTATGGTGGTGAATCTATAAAGCTGTTTTTTGAGAAGATTTAATAAACAGTGATACCAATCCCAGAAGCCACCGGGGGCAGCCATATAGGCTGGGATGCTCAAAGGAGTCCAACTCCATTGACTTTCAGCCCTGTACCCCATTAGATGTGTTGATTTGTGTTAGGAACAGCTGGGGTTTGCCCTAGTGCTGTCCTAGCCCCTTCCCCTGGCAATGGCCTCTGGGTAGCTACCCCAAAGTCCCTAGCAAAGACCCCAGAAGCGGTTGATTCTGGCAGATTTCAAAGGGCTGCCTGGTGGGACGAACGGAACCACGTTGGCTGGTCCTTGCCCATGAACACACGAGAACAGGTCAGACTGGCACTGGTCTGCACGGCCCAGGGGTAAGTTTTGCTGAAGATAAGTCTGATCCCAGTGGCATATGGCATGGACCTGCGCTGACTGGAGCCCTTGTGGGTGTGGACTGAAGGTGCTCAGGGTCCCACACCGTGTTCAGCCCAGTGATCTCCTCTAGTGCAGGCCGACAGCATCTGAGTTTAACCCTCATGGAGCAGGACAGGAGTTCAGAATCCCAGTGGGAAACCTCCTCTCCTTGCCACGCCTAGGACCTGTATCGAGGAGTCTTTTCCTCCTACTCTTTGCACTTCATCACTACTCAGTGCAGCTGAAAGGGGCAGAGTAGCAAGTGGTTAGAGCACTGAACTGGGCCTTGGAAAACCAGGTTTTTATATCCAGCTCTGCCACTGATCTGCTGAGTGACCTTGGACAAGTCACTTCCCCTCACTGTGCCTCAGTTTCCCCTCCGACCCTGTCTTGTCCAGTTAGACTGTAAATGGCTCGGGGCAGGGATTGGCCCTCACTTGGTTTTGTGCAATGCCCCCACAATCGAGGTCAGATCTCATCTGAGGTCTCTAGGGGATGCAAATAACAATAAACACAGTAATACCAGCCACAGCTTGTAACTCCCCCAATCAGCTTTCATGCAATGAAGGCTACACACAGCTGAATGACAGGGTTACACCATTAACCTGTAATTAACATCCAAAGTTATTACCCATTAGATTGGGTAGCAACTCCCTACCTTGTACTCCTGGGCAGCTTCCTGTATGGGAACCACCATGTGAGTGCGGTGAGCCCGGGACTCTCTGCAGATCACACAGATGGGGGTTTGATCCTCTTCACAGAACAGTTTCAGAGCCTCCTGGTGTTCCCCACACACCCCGCCCGCTCCTGCTCCCTTTGCTGCCTGGAAACTCAGCTGCTTGGCGATTTCTACGACATTTGCCATCTGCCTGTTGGGCCTGAGGTTTCTCTGTTGCACAGTTTCTCTGCACTGAGGGCAGGAGGCGGCTGTGTCGGGTCCCTCCCAGCACTGGGCGATGCAGGCGCGGCAGAAATTGTGCCCACACTCCAGAGTGACAGGGTCTGTGAAATACTCCAGACAGACGGGACATGTCGCTTCCTCCTGGAGACTTTCCACGGGGCTCTCTGCAGCCATGGCTCCCTCTGGGCAGTGGGACAGGGTAAGTTTCAGTTTCCTGAGTTCACACTCTGCCCCGCCTGCAGCAGCAAGCAGGGGGGGGAAGGTGGTTTCCTTGCCTGAAAGTGACTCGTGCTGTTTGCTGAGCAGGAAGGACCCAACCAATTTCACCCCTGGAGGCTTTGGTGAAAAATGTATCAGTTCTGGGGGGATCAGACAATATTTTGGTCAGACCAGAACTATTTAATGACACTAGACACTGAGATTCAAAAAGTTGAAGCTTTAGAACTGTTAAAATTGTCTGTGAGGAGCTAAATCTCCTCCCTCCCCCAGCAGCTCCCCCAGGGCAATGACCCAGAGCCTCCCCCACCACCACAGGGACGGAGGCTGAGAGTCCATCTGCTGGCGGCTCAGGGGCCTGTGGAATGTGCTGGGATCTCAGCCTGGGCCCTAGGGGGGCAGGTGACCCTGTCACACAACCACGCCCAGCAAGGCCTGCTCCCATTTTCTCCCAGTTTGTCCGTCCCAGCAGAGAGACCAGGGACTGCAGGGAGACCAAGCTCCTGTCCCCCAGGTGAGGGCTGGGGCCCAATGGCCGAGGGCAGCCGGTGTGAGGGGAGCTCGCACTAGGGGCCTGCAGGGTACGTGGTGTGGGATAAACAGAGACCTCTCAGGCCACTTGCCCATTGCGACTGCAGCAGGGGATGTGGGGACAGACGGAGGAGGCCTGGGGCAGTCTGGGAAGCCGCCATCGGGGGACACGGAGAGGGAATTCAGCTGTGGCGGGGAAGCCGTGCTGCGCAGAGATGCTGCTGCGGATGCAGCTAGTTACCCGGGTCCAGTGTTGCAGCAGTTTAACAACATGGTTACTAGACGTTGCAGCTCAGCGGAGTGAAGTGCTGCCCTTTTGCTGGTCTCCGCGCGGCTTGAGATCTGTGAGCATCATTCAAACACCTTTCCCCTGCTGCTGTCTCATGTACCCGGGTCTTCACTCAGCGTTGCAGAGCAGAGCAGATTCAGTGCTTTGGTACAGGGTTACGGAAAGGAAAGAGACTGGAATGGTACATATAGTACCTGTAATTTCTCTCCCCTGGCTGTCGGATGTACTGTGTGCAGCTGGTTCCTTAGAGACACTCAGTCAGACAGCTGGGGTGGCCTTTTTCTGCTCTGCCCCTTTCTCAGTAAATGGTGAGTGTAACTTTACCCACTCCGGTCCCTTTGGCATCACTGGGACACTAAGACCTTTCAAGATCGGGACACTGAATCGTAAGCTTTTCGGGTCTGTTCAGCGCTCAGCACCATGGGCCCCTTGTCCTCCATAGACTATAACACGAAGAGACACACAGGCATTGTATAGATGGGGAAACTGAGGCAGGGAGTGGGCTGGTTCAATGGCCTCCCTATTCAGTGGCTATAGGGGCCAATGCAGACCTTAGGAGCAGCTAGGCAAGTCCTGAGCTCCAGCCAGAGCTGCATCCCTGGTTTAATGGTCCTAAGGGGTTTTGCCAGGGTGCAGAGTACAAGAGATGCAGCTTCACCCTGGCCACACCCCTCTGTCCCTTTCCACCCCTTCCTCCTCCAGCCTGTCCATGCCCCAACCTCCCTCCCTCCCGCCCCTCCCAGGAGCACTCCCTGTGCCTGCAGCTGCTGGGGAGGAGACACAAACAGCCATGCTTGCCGGCACAGGAGCCAGAGCACGATGGGCTGGGTCCAAATCGCAAGAATGTCTTTTGATTTAGGGTCCAAATTTGGGGACTGAGCTAAGTGCTGAGGGGCTGGTTCTCCGAGGGGCTGGGCACCGGCAGCACCCACTGACTCCAGCTGCAGCTGCGAATGCGGGTGGAACATGTGCTCTGAAGTCCTGTGTTTCGAGGAGATAAACCCAGACACCCCAAAATCAGGCCACTGCTGTAAATTTTGGCCTCATGGACTTGTCCATTAACAGCAGGACGTGGGCTAAGTCTCATTGTAAGTCGCTGTTTATACTTGGTCACTGCTCAGTCCCATGATTGGAAGCAGCAGAGGGGCTGACCCCAGGGGTGCTCCGGAGCTCAAACACCCACGGAAAAAATACAGGGGGAGCTCAGCACCCACCAGCCACAGCTGTTCTGTGGGGCTGCCAATGAGCTGTTTGGTGGCTGGGGGAGGTGCCTGGGGGAGGGCGGAGAGCAGCGAGCTGCAGATTGGCTGCGGCTTTGGTGGAGGGGTTGGAGCAGGGGCGGGAAGAGGCAGCCAGAGGGCAAGGCCTTAGGGGAGGAGGCGGAGTGGGTCAGAAGAGGCGGAGCTAGGGCAGGGCCTCAGGGGAGGGGCATAGTGGGGGCGTGGCCTCAGGGCAGAGCGGGGGTAGAGCACCCCCAGGGAAAAATAAAAGTCAGCATCTATGCTCCCACTGCCTGCCGGGGGTGGGGGGCATTATTTGAACCAGAGTCCCCCACTTCTCAGGAGAGTGCGCTAACCACTCAGCCAGTGTTTTGCAAACTGGAGGGTCCTGACCCAAAAGGGGATTGCAAGGCTTTTGTAGGGGGGGTCATGAGATCACAAAAAATATATGATAACCACTGGTACGAGTGGAACATGGAGGTCATCGATTCTGTGATTTTATTTGACCTCTGTGACTTCATCTCCCCACACAGGGCTTCATCTTCAACCCCACAACGTGGCTCCGGCTGTCAGCCCCACATGGCGGGCCTCAGGCTTCAGCTGCTTTGCATATCCAGGATTGGAAGGGCTGCAGGAACAGCAAGTGATGGGGGAATTTCCCACTGAACTGAAGGCACATTCTCAGGAAAGTTTCCAATGATATGATCTATCCTATGGATGCAAGTGTCTATCAGTTATCCCTGGAGTCTGTCCATGTCCCTGCCCTGCTCTGCTCTCTCCCTGGTCGTATGTTACAGGCAGAGACAGAAGCTGAAAGGCAGAAACTTGTGTCTTACTTTCAGCAACTGCACCATGTCCTGGAGGAACAAGAGCGACTCCTACTGGCCCAGCTGGAAGAGCTGGATCCAGAGACTGCAGAAAGAATTGAAAAACAAAGCAAATTTTGCAGGAAATACCCTGTGCCTGTGAGCTGCTCATGAACGCGCTGTGTGTGTGTATGATCACAAACTGGAGAACTTGGAGGACGCTGATGTGGCTAGTAAGTCGGTGAAACTAGCCGAATAACATTTCTGTTTTGATGTAGGAATAAAAAGACTGAATATTGTTCCCTTTTGAGCCATCTTTATATTACGTAAGTATGTGTCCGTAAAAGCGTTTGGTTGTCCGTAATTTTTTTTCTATACTGTCCATAAAAATTATTTTCAGCACTTGGCAACCCTGGTCCCAGACACTCTCTGAGAGTAACCGTCCGGTGAGTGAGACGTTGAAGCAAAACGCTCCACTCTGGGCTTTTCTCTATCAGTGAACACAAATGGTAGTAGAAGCCATGCACTTTTAGAGAAGCTGTTTTACCAGGGAGACGTATCTTGGGAACCCTTCGTCAACTGGCCTCCAATTTGGCCCCCAGCCTGACCCTGCTCCTCCGCAGGGCACACCAAATGTCCAGGCAAACCAAGGGACTTTGTTGATCTCAGTGCACTTACAATAGTCAAGTTTTAAAGAGAAAGCTGGTCTCATCCATAACTCTAGTCATCGCGGTGGTGCACTACAATAAGGAAGGTGATGTGACAGGATCCCCACATCCTCCTCCAGCCATGGGCTGTGCAACTAAGCAGGTGTCTACCTCTGTTCAGGGAGGCCTTAGCACTTGCCCCTCTCACTGGTATCTCCCATTGGCTAGCTTAGGTGGCTTCCCCACTACAGTGCTGGCTTTTCTGGATCACAGTCTAAGGGTGAGTTTACACTACATCTCTGGGAGAGGCAGTTGTTAGATCGACAGAGGAATTCTTCCCTTGACCTATCTACGTCTACGTCCAGGGGTTAGATCTGTCTGACTACGTCACACAGGGTGTGAAAGTTTCCACAGCGCTGAGCACAGTATCAAGGCCAACCTAAGTTGTAGGTAAAGACCAGGCCTCTGGAAGAATAAGGGTATGTCTACGCTACAGTCGCTACTGTAGCAGAGCTACAGCTGTGTCGCTGAAGTGCCGTAGTGTAGATGCATCCTGCATTGACGGAAGTGGTTTTTCCATTACTGTAGTTAATCCCCCTTTCTGAGAGGCCGTAGCCAGGTGACTGCCAGAATTCCATTGTCTGCACCAGGGGTTAGGTCCATCTCGCTGTGGCACTCAGAGCACAATGTTTCACAGCTCTGGGTGACTTCACTAGGTTGATCTAAAAAGAAAAGGAGGACTTGTGCCACCTTAGGGACTAACCAATTTATTTGAGCATAAGCTTTCGTGAGCTACAGCTCACTTCATCGGATGCATTCAGTGGAAAATACAGTGGGGAGATTTATATACACAGAGATCATGAAAAAATGGGTGTTACCATACACACTGTAAGGAGTGTAATGGGGGGGGGGGGGGGGGGGGGGCGGGGGCCCCGGGGGGGGGGGGGGGGGGGGAGGTCCCCCCCCCCCCCCCCCCCCCTCCACCCCCCGAATTCCCTTTCAAATAATCCACTCCCCTCCCTCTGGGGTTTTTTTTTTTTTTCCTTCTAGGTCTGTAATCGAATGACCAGAGAGATTGAAGTGTTCTCCGACTGGTTTATGAATGTTATAATTCTTGTCATCTGATTTGTGTCCATTTATTCTTTTACATAGAGACTGTCCAGTTTGACCAATGTACATGGCAGAGGGGCATTGCTGGCACATGATGGCATATATCACATTGGTAGATATGCAGGTGAACGAGCCTCTGATAGTGTGACTGATGTGATTAGGCCCTATGATGGTGTCCCCTGAATAGATATGTGGACACAGTTGCCAACGGGCTTTGTTGCAAGGATAGGTTCCTGGGTTAGTGGTTCTGTTGTGTGGTGTGTGGTTGCTGGTGAGTATTTGCTTCAGGTTGCGGGGCTGTCTGTAAGCAAGGACTTGCCTGTCTCCCAAGATTTGTGAGAGTGATGGGTCGTCCTTCAGGATAGGTTGTAGATCCT